GGAGGGGGGGCGAGAAGCCTCCTCTGCTGGCTGCTCAGAGGGTGCTGGAGTCCCACAGCAGGCAGAAGACGATGCTTCCCCTCCGGAGACGAGGAGAGCTCAACGAGTCGCGAGGGGGAAACATGCCGGGCCAGGTTGGTGCCCCCCTCACCTCCCACCCGAGCAGGGGCAGGTGGCCTGGGGCTCCTCGGGGCAGAGCACAAACCGGCCGTACCTGGGACCACCCGGCAAAAGGGGGCTGTGGTTGCTGTGAGACAAAGTTCTTCCAACATTGTGTTCAAAGTTTCCAACTAAATCGTGCCCTTGCACAGCATCTTCTTCCTGCGATGCCACACACCCAGGACCACCCTGACAGAGCAGATACTTCACTCTCCAGGGCGCACACTGCCCATTAGTGAGACCACTGAGGTGCCACTTGCGCACCATCACCCAGAGCAGGACAGGGACAGCGGAGGGATGAGGCAGGTTCCCCAAGCCTGGGAGTAATGAATTTGTGCATTGGACTTGCAATAAACACTTGTGCCCTTGGATGACATCTTAAAGTATTTCAGGCAATTTGATCAACTACTTGACTCAAGAGTTTCTGTGCACAGGCTGTGTGAGCAGACATTAACTGCACACAACTGCACTCTCCACGTCTGGAAAGAAGTCCCTTCCCTGGCACAGTGAGCCACGCTGCGCTCCTTCCTTCACAAGGAACTCTGATTTTAGAAGCAGGGGTGTAGGTACAGTCCCTTGGGGCTACTCTGGGCATTCAACAGGACTAACCAGGTTTTCGATCCTGTTGAATTTCAGCTTACTCTGTTCACAGCTTTTCCCTGTTATTGCTCATGTTTTAGTAAGTGGTTTAATTCCCCATCTCAAGTGTAAGAATACTTGATTAGAGGGAACAAAATAGGAAAGCATAAGAAAACAAACCACTATTATTGCACCTTCTGTCCCAAAACCTCTCAAAGCTATTACAAACCAAAGTCCTAAGTGACAGGACTGAAAAATGAGAGATGTGAAATGCATGGTCTGAGTGGTTTTTAACCTGTGGGATTAAAACACTTCAGTACCTTTAAAGAAGTTTGTTTCAATACCTATTTGCTACATGAAGCTAAATTCATTACGCATTAAGAAACATCTTTTCCTACTACTAGATGAGAACAAACGAAGGTAACAAAACAAAACAGAATGGATTCACTCTAGAGCACACATGGCTCATTTTTCCAACAGACAAATCTGATTGCACTCTGTGCCAAAATTCAACAGCATATGCTGAAACAAGAATAATACTGAGGCTGAATTACTGTTGAAAAAAAATCAACCAGGCAAAATTCTCACCTCATACTACAGAATACTTACTGCTCCACAAAGATGACTGAGAAGAAAAGGCTGTTAAATTAGCAAGAGAAATCATTAACCATCAGGCAAAGGAAGTCCAAGGTAAACATAAAGACAAGCTGAAGCATCCTACCTGGCATAAAAACCCAAAAGCCACAACACACAACTTTTTTAGACTTCACAACAAAAAGTTAAGCCAGTTCTTACTTTACTTACCAGCTGGCATACAAGCTGTTGCTTCTCTGCTCTGTCACGCTTACACCCCAAGCGATGGAAGACATACACCTGCCAGTCCTGTACTACTAATGATGCCGCTTGTTGTTTTAAAGGAAGGTTATATCCCAACTGCCAGAAATTATTCATTTTAAAGAGAGTTTTTAAAACAAGACATGTTAAAATAAATAGCATTTATTTAGTGTTCCTGAAGAAAAGTCCCAAGCTAGCAAAATCTTCAAAATCAGGTCCCTATAGCCTGATCCTCAGAGGCAGTTTGACTCACAAAATTTGCAAGAAACTGCATGCAAGTTTTTAAGCTGAAAACTTTTGGGAACAATTTGCTTAGAAAGTTTATTATTAAAGTGCAGTTTTGGCAAGTTCCGCAATGACCCTTTTAGCTGGAAAATGGCATATGCAAAAGCAATGAAGATTTATGAGGCTTTGACAGGAACATGAAGGAAACCCAACCAAAAGTGATACATTTTTTGTGGACTGTTACACCTTTAAACAATATTTAAATACTGTTTAAATAAACGCGAGGTTGTGCTGCTACTGAGAGCTTGATTCTCAACACAAAGAGCAGTTGCTGCAGACAAGCGTGGCTATGGTTACAAAAATGAACACAAAAGTTAATGCAAAAAGTCATCTCAAAAAAAGTTTATTAGCATGATTAAAAACTTGAAGAATGACAGCAAGAGAGAAAGTAACGCAGCATGGAAGAATATCCATTTCAACAGTTTATATTCAACAAGGCTTGAACGGCATGGATAACTTTATTGCCAGATTTCACTTGGTTTCTTTAACAACAGTTCACATTGTATCAGTTTCATCATTATTAGGACTATTGCTTTTGTTTGGATCTGATCCCTGTTGCAGGTAAGCATAAAAAAATATCTCCTGTTACTGCTGGATTGCAGAATGCATTGTTGGTTTAAAAGCTGGTAAAAAAGAAATTCTCAACTGAAGAGTCTGTTTAAAAAACAACCTTTTTCCTCTAATCCCACTACAAAGAAATACATTAGTATTTTGGCCTTTACATTTCTTACATGGTATTATTTAGCATGGCAATCCCCAAATTCCCTCCCTACCACAAATCAAATCCCTCTTTCAGAGACTGCTTCTTGGGTTAGATTCTGGAGATTTACTTCATACACGCTTACACTGGCTTGAGGACGAAGACAGCATCATCTAGCACATAGTAGTCATTATACATATCACCTTCACATAGGTATGGTAGTCTGGTGAAAGCCTCTATGGCAAAACCAGCTTTACTGAAAACTTCTGGCAGGCTATTCACCTGTTCTTCCCAAGTGTGCCCTTTGATTTCCAAAACTTCTGAGGGCTTTTCCCACTTGCCACCTACTGAGAAAACAAAACAGTTTTGTTTAAATTATAAAGAACGCTTTATTGTGTGTTGTATTTTCTTACAGAATGCATATTACACAGATTATATTCCACTCCACTCCAAACAGGAGGTTGACAAACCTTTTGTAGAGCCATTGCAAGATCGGTTCAAGTTTTCGCCTATTGCTCAGACACAGCTCCTTCTTATCTTTTGTTACATTTTTAACTAGCAGTTCCAAGAGTGGCCAAAAGTAACTTCCACTAGTGAGGCTGGTGTTCAGCAGAAATGGACTGACAGACTATTTAATGAAGATCTTTTCCAGCAGTATAAAATTCTTTCTTTATGCCCACTGTCTGGCCCAAGATGGCTTCAGGTGATTACAGTAAACAGAGCAAATAAGCTGAAAATTATGATTTACTGTGAAGCTTCCATCAGTAGACCACCACATTATAATGGGTGGCTACATAATCTTTGTTCCTCCAGTGGCCACATACTAGCTGGTGCAGTAAAGACTGCTTCAGGTCACATAAAATTAAAAAGCCAAACACTTGTGGCATGCTGGAAAATATGTTGTCATTTGTTATATCCAATAAAACAGTCTGAAGGATTACAGGTACAACTCTCAGAAGTTCAAAATTTAAAACTCTTCACTCATTTTCCAAGTAACGTTGTTCACAAATAACAAATGTTTTCTGGTTTGGTCTGTACCTTTAACCAGTTTGCTAAATGCAATAGTAAACACCCTTCTAAACAGGAAGTTCTAAACCTTGTGATGTAGAGCATTCTGCAACTCCACAGATTTCCTAAGTTCCTCTTCCTTCAAGCAGAATCATTTCCAGAGCGAGACAAGAAATGGCATCTTTCAACAAATTAAAAAATGTGCTAATGCTGGCATTTGACTGGATTCTGTATGGTACTGGTAAGACTTTTTTTTTAGCTTCTTATATTTTCCCGTGTAAGAGCAGTTAAACAAGATTGAAAGCGTTGTGGTTAGGATTTGCAACATAGCTACGAAATAAGAGCAGTAAAACGTTTTGCTGAAATCAAGCTAATTTCTGCGGTCTTCATACAATTGTCAGATTAAACAACTGTTAGCAAATGTTTTTTGTCCAAAAGTCTGAAATGCTCCTGTAATGTATGATTTCTGGGTCAAAGCCTACTGCACTTCCTTACAAAGAATGCTCCAGCAGCAGCAGCATGGTTTCAGTGCAGCTGTGCTTGTTTGGAAAGTTCAGCAGACAGTATCTACGCAAACTGAAGCCATGGAATTCTGCTCTGAAGACCATCCAGAGCCCTAGAGTAAGGTGGAAAAGAGCAGGGGATCAACTGCAGAAGCACAAGCTACTGCCTTTCACCACACAGGGTGCAAATACACCGACAGTTGTTACTACTACGCGACAGTTGATACTACTACAGTCTTCAGATCGCTGTAGCTGCTGTGGAAGGGCTCTGATGTTGATCTGACACAGAAGCATCATTTCATTTTATTCCTGTAGAAATCACAGACACTGAATTTGATTGGATTCGGTTCATAAAACACTCAGTGAGAAAAATGATGAAGGGATAATGCTGACTGTCCACCGTGGACAGGCTTATAAGTTGTGTATCAGCAATAGACCAAGAGACTTTAGTTTATTTTTCTTCTAATTTGTTGGAAGTAGAAAAGGATGCTGTTAAGCTACTACCTTCATTTTCACGGCAATAATCTCAATTCTCTTGTTTAAATAGCTAAGTAATTTATTTGAATAAAATCACATGTACTAAAACAGTACTTAAGTTACGGATTTCAATAAGGACTTAAAAAAAATCTCCTAGAACAGTCATATTAAAGCTTAAATTTCAGTTCCTTAATTAGAATTCTCTTCTCTGATTAACCTTCCTGTTTTCTCTGCACACATTTTTAAATGTCAGAACTAACAAGCAATATTGTTCTCCTTAGAAACCCAGAGTCAATACATGTGATGAAGTGGAAGGATGTCTAGGAACTATTATGAATTCTAATCAATGTTATGAAATTGCTAAATTATAAATATCTCTACATTTATGACATTTCCACTGCCTACCATCAGGCTGTCTCACTTGACTCAGATAAGCATCAGTGGGGTAGAGAGAAACCCTTGCAGAACTACTCCATTGAGCATCTAGAGTTATGTCACACAACACCCACTCCCTCACCGCCCATTACCTCCCCACCCCCGATCCCCAAAAGACTCACGACTAAATCTGAGGCAGGGAACTACACAAAGTATTCTTTTGGTCTTCTCCAGGGCCAAAGGAGACATTCACATTATTTTAGATGTAGAAATCTTCTCTATACTTTTTCAGAAAAACAGAAAGCTAAGCACATTACCACAGAGGTAAAAACTGTTAAATGAACGCATGGGCAAGCTGCAAGAATTATCTAAAATTTTGCTGGAAACAACCTTATAAATTTCAAGTTTGAAACATGGCTGATTCTCCTCCTTTCCTCCCACTTTTTCTCAGATGAACCAGAAATAGCTTATTTTCTTTTTAGATTTTGCCTTGCTTTGTAACTGTCCCTCACATTACCAGTTGTTTATTCTCAACAGGTGCTGCGGATGCCTGTCAAGTCACAGTAACACAACCCAAATTTCAGGAAGTTGACTCCTCCACGCACACTGTGTTCCTAACATGTGTTTTCTCTGCCTCTGGATGCTCCTCCTCCCCACCTGAAGTTCTATGGTTTCGCTTTTTAATTAACAAACATGAGGATTTGTGTACTCCTGGATGCACAAATCATGAGAAGTACAAAGTACACTTATTACCACAAAATAACATTTCACTTCAGATCAATGACCTGACTGTAGATGACAATGCTATTTACATCTGTGGAATAGCATTTTCAGATTCAAGTTCACCCCATTCTAAACAAACAGGAGATGGAACAGTCCTAATGAAAACAGGTCAGTTGATAATTCCCTCTTAATGAAGCACCTTAAAAGAAATAAATTGTCTTTCCTCTATTTCACTTTCAAGAATGGCATTTAAGATGGAAATACCAACAAAATTGTTAGGAGCACGACTATATTAATTGTAAAACCATGGAACGATTATACAAATAAGCATCTTAACCTCGTTTGCTAATTAGACTATTCTGTCATATGATGCAAATGACTCTAGAATTCTACAAAAGAAAGAAGTTTTGCACTCATCTAACAATACTCTACATCCTCTTACACAAAGACTTTAATGGCTATCAACAAGGAAGTATCAACAGAAAAATCAGAAGTAGGGAATCTGACATTTAGTGGAAATATGTGCAACAGAGTACAGGGTCTCAGAACTGGGGATTCACTGTGCCAATCTGAGAAAAAAGTTTTAGTTCTGAACCTTTGTATCATTTGCCTTCTAGTTAAGAAAGCGATGAGACTTCATTAACTACATCTCAGTTTTACATGCCTAAAATAGAAAAAAACCCCAACAACCTAGCTGGATTATTACTTTCCCTATATTCCGTCCCTCCTCTATCCAATTGCATTTCTGAACAAAAGCCTGTAAGCTTTATCCAGACATTCCTTTACGAGAGCAGAAAACTGGATTCTATGCTCTGTCTACCCCCAAAGCAAGGGTTCATAATCAAATATAACAAGTCTCCATTCTCCTTGCAAACAAAAGAAAAGTGATCTCACTGAGGAATTTAGACCGAAAATGAACCAGAAAATATTGATGGGTATAAGGTTTTTTAATTCCTCAGAGGAAGGGGGGTGAAATGCAGAATCTTCAGAAAATTATGTGAATCAGAAGAACTGTCCTTTATTCTAACACTCATTTTTAATTAAGGAGCAGAGAAGCAGCACAACAGTGGAAAACTCATTCTCATGATCATCGCTTCATCCTTAATGTTTTTATACAGCACTACTGTACTCACTCTCTTTGCAGTCTACAAGGTAGGCTCAAAGCGATTTTTCTGATTTTGTTCATTTTGTACATCTAAGCAGTTTTAACATCTCCATAAGGAGAATAAAAAGATGTTCCTAGGTTCCATGACTTTTACGAATAAGTTTTAAAGAGGTGGTTGGCTGAAGTTCATATGCTGCACACATCTGCAAACTCTTGTGTGGCGTATACCTGTACTCTCAATAGCAACCATATTTTCTTTTTTCAGTAAAGTGTCTAAAAGAAAAGGTATTCTAAAGTTAAAATTATCCTGAAAGTATTAATCAGCAAGTTGGAGATTATCTATCAAGGCACACTTAAAAAGCAAAACCAGAAATGACCATCGTAAGTCATCAACTCTCTGGATTAGTTTCCAGTAAAATTAAGATAAATTTAATGTCAAAGTACTTGCGAGCTGCAGGAAAGTTACTGCAGACTGACTTTACTTGTGTAACGAAATTCTATTCATATAGAATATATACATACATACATTATATTCATATATACAGAAAAGAGACCTTGGTAAAATTTAAAAATATGAGAGACTTTGAAGAAGTTTTATACTCATAGGAAGCAAACACATTAGAATGCACCTGGTTAAAAATGACATAACTACTGGGTTTTTTTCTTTTAAATCTAGAACAAAATTTGTGTTCAGTTAAAAACAAACACCCAAAGCTGCAACTGGAATCTTTACACAATAATGAGACACTGACATAAGAATGAGGACTTCACAGTCCTAAGTGGTATGATATGGTAAAATGAGTCTTTGCTGTAGTGATCACTGTCTAAGCATAAAGACAGGACAGTCTTTTTGATTTTTGTTTTTCTTTAAACTAGGTGAAGTAGCACAGTGGGGAAAATTAATCAAGCCTTCTTCAGGGGAAAAACTGGTATCTGTGATACCGTTGATTTATTTTTGAGAATTCAGTAGTGCTTCACGCAGGTCCCACTGTACTCAGAGCAAAACTACTTGCAACATCTACTATCAGAAGCTCAAAAAGACCTTACATGCTTGAAAACTCACCTAATTTTTCCGATGGTATAAGCTGATCTAATGAAAGACTTTTATCTACAAAACATTTGGCACTGCAAAAAGGCAATGCTTTTGACTATTCTG